TGATAAACTAAAGAAAAACTTGTGCAATAGTTAGTACAGTTGGCTTTAGTATCCATGGGGGATTCCAGGACCCACCCCATCCCCACCTCCACATATACCAAAAGCCACAGATGCTCAAGTCCCTTCCTTATATAAAGTGGTATATACACCAAGGGACCTATATACACCCTCGTTGTGCTTTAAATCATCTCTGGATCATGTATACCTTATGAAAGGTTTATGATATGTAAATAATTGTTATACTGCAATGTTTAGGGAATAATTGTGAGGGAAAACGTCTGTACATGTTCAGTACAGATGCAACCATCCATTTTTTTCTTCAAATATTTTCACGCTATGGTTGAATCCACAGATGCAGGACCCATGGATACAGAGCGCCAACAGTATACAGTTAAAAGTACGGAGAGGAGTTAGTATTGGGGGTGTTGAGAAGAAAGAGAGAGAATTTCTGGCTAGATGTTAAGAGAGAAAATAGGCAAGAATTTAGGAGAGGTAGCATTTGACTAATAAATTTCACTAGGCATTATGGAACCACATAAGTCTTCTAAATGGTGAAGTGGAATATCAGGTGCTTTGGCAGCAATGAGTAGGCTGGATTGATCTGTTAGGAAACTGGTGTGAAAACACCCAAACTTGTGTCACGAGGAGATCTACTTGGCAAACACTGCTGGTGTTGAGATGACAACTGGAAGAGCTGAGTGGTGAAGATAGCCCCAATGTACAGTGGGTAGGACAGTGGCTGTGCCTGAATGGTAGTCATGACCACAAGAGAAGAAGCAGGACGGAATAGTGAATTGCCTGGGATGCACTGAGCTTGAAAAGCCTAGAGTACATCCAGTTATCAGGAAATCAGAAATGAAGATTTGCAGTTCCGGAGAAGAGGCAAGAGGTCATGAGAGATTAGCTGAGAGAAACCCTTGAAACCATAAAAGGATCCCTATATAGCCTGTTTTCATTGTAAAAAGAACAGCACCCCAGTAAATTAGGTGTCCGTGGAGTTAACTACTTTAATTTTTCTCGTAGCGAGAGATGTATCACAGTAGTTACCTTCTACGACTGAGCAGTGTGAGCCCAATTTTGGCTTTTCTTCAACACTGGGCACACCGTTCTAAAGTAGCATCTTAGATTACTTCTGCACAGACTCAATGATCTTGAAGTGACACGTGGAATTTGAGATGATGGCCTCATTTTATCCACTTACATTATAGTTCCAAAGTTTCTGTCTTATGCTTTCTTCGATTTGAATTTTGTCATACTTGAATATTCTAATTGCTATGATTGTAAAAGGTAATATATTATAGAAAGCTTAGAAAATAGAAAAACATTTAAAAAGAAAGCAAAAAGTACTCATAATCCAAACAAATAAGTAACTGCTGTGAGTTTTTATATATGTGTATGTACATGTATATACACGTGTACAAATGTGTATATTCTATGTGCCACATAAACATATATTATGAAAATGCATAGATGTATATACCATCTATATATTTTCTTAGTATTATAGATCATATCATACATTCTATTTCATATTCAATTATTAGTTGATATTACATTTGAACATTTTTCCAGGTCATTAAAAATGATTAAAAAGCATTATGTTCCTGTGCCGCATAGTGTTTCATTATATGAACTTGTCATAACACTGAGTCATTCTCGTGAATTGTCATCGGACAATTCAGTAAGGTGTGTATTTTGAGAGGAAGAGGTGGGATGCCTTTTCTTCTTATACCACATTACGCCAGAATGATCACTTTCTCATGCTCACCTTCTCCTGTTACCACCACAACCCCTGATGATGGGGATGTTAGATGGAGTCATGTTACTACCCAATATAAGAGAAACGATGTAAGAAGTGCATGCGTGGTGGTCAGCATAGTGAAGGCAGTGCAGAATGAGTTTTGCTCCCAAGCCAACTGTTTCTTCTATCTTTTCCCTTTGTGGTTGTTTTTTTAAAATCATTTAAGCCTCCTTCACCAGTCCCCACCTATTCAGATGCATGTCTGAATGCATGCATACATGCACACATACCCATATCAAGACCTAAACATGGGGAGAACTTCTTAAAGTCCCTAAATTACAGCCTTTTTCATCATTATTTATGATGCACATTTTGCCTAAGGAAAAAAGTAAGCAATAAGTAAGCAATTGGAAGTTAACTTTAGGCAAGCTTGCTTTCCCCCGTGATGATGTAGTGAAAGGCTCGGGCCATGGCATGAACCCGAGAGTGAGCTGAGCCCATGCACACGAATATGCATTAGCAGGACTGGACAGAGCACCATTGTTTTGATATCTTTCTGTTTTCACAGGTGCTATAGAGTCATTTTATGAGTCTTCACCATGACCCATGTCATAGAAAGACAAATATAGCTATAGTTTTGCTGAATCCAGGTTTCAAGCTCCCTGTTCAAACAAAAACATAATTTCTAAATCGGCCCAAAGCAAAGCTCAACATCTTGAATTCTGTACACTCTCCCTTTTATTCTCCTTCACTTCAGCTTGTCTCCTTCAGTGTTACTGTCTCCATTTTAAATATCATCAGCTGATAAATCAGTTGACACATCTGCAACTGTTTATTCTAATGTTGAAGATGACAAATTACAGCCATAAATTTTTTCAGGAGAGAAAGCAATGGTAGGCATTTCTACATTTAGAAATTGATGTAGCATGAATAAAGATACCAGAGAAGGTAAAATAGAACTTCAAAATCAATTTGATGTATTACTTAATCAACTGCTATTAGATAACAGTGTATGTACAAACTTCCTAGAAGGACTGTGGAAGATGATTGGCATTCTTTAAAACATAGTCCTTCTAGAAAAAAAAAGTCCCTTTGTTACTAGGTGTAAGAATAATTCTTACTAGATGTTAGAATGATTCTAACAAAAGGAAGGATTAAGCTTTCACCTGATTTCTTATCTGTCAGAAGAAAGTAGAAAAGAATAGGACATTTAATTCAAAAAAAAAAAGAAAAGTTTAAGAGCTGTTCATTTCATCCTTGTGTAAAGAACAGTGGGATTGTGAACATTGCCAAAAGGCAGCATCCCATTTCTTTTTCTTTTTTTTTTTGAGACAGAGTCTTGCTTTGTTTCCAGGCTCCAGGCTGGAGTGCAGTGGCACAATCTCAGCTCACTGTAATCTGCCTCCTGGGTTCAAGCAATTCTCCTGCCTCAGCCTCCCAAGTAGCTGGGGACTACAGGCACATGCCACCATGCCCAGCTAATTTTTGTATTTTTTAGTAGAGAAGGGGTTTCACCATGTTGACCAGGATGGTCTTGATCTCTTGACCTCATGATCCCCCGGCCTTGGCCTCCCAAAGTGCTGGGAATACAGGCGTGAGCCATCGCGCCCAGCCCCCATTTCTTATACATTGTTACTGAAGGTTAATACACACACACAAACACACACACATCATGAAAATTTTGTCACACAAATGAGTATAAAGAACTTACACAAATAAATACAGAAAATTTGATCACGTAAACTAAATAAGTTAGTACTCCAGTGACCTTCTCTCCTGGGAATAGATAGCCATCTTAATCGCTTTGTTTCCCATTTTTTAAAAAACAAGATTGGACTTCTCTCATGTATCCCCCTACCTTTCAGTAATTTCTTCAGAAACTATGCAGGCCCCTTTATCCCTCTCCGTCTCCTTCTTACTTTTCATCATCTCCAGCCAGTGCAATTTTAATCTTTGTGATCCACACTCATAGCTCACTCTTTCTACCCAAACACCTGGGTTTGCTAGCCGTATTTTATAAACCTACTATATCATCCTGTATCGGGGGAATGGGTGAAAATGGAAGTCTTCATTTATATTGAATGTAAAGATATTATATAGATGTATAAATATATACACATCCATCTATCCCAGAGGCACAGATAGAATACATGAGTCCCTTCAATACCCCAAAGAGGGCCATTCTGTCATTTATCAGTTGCAGCGTAAGCATCTTCCACTGAGGCGCTCCCATGCTCTGCATCTGTGCATCACCATCTCCCACTCTTGATGAAGGTGCTGTTGCACTAGCGGTCTTATCCAAAACCCATGAATCATTAGTCCTCTGCAAACCAGAAAACTAGGCCTCCGCAGGGACCCACCAGTCTTACCAATTGGAGACTTTAGTTGAAATCAGTGAAGTGGGTTAGAGTAGTTTATTGACATCCTAAAGGCCTCCAAGAACCTCCACACAGCCTGTGATATGTCTTGTGGACCCTGAGCATCCACTCTGTCTCTAAACCTCACAGGTTTCCCAGGGCCCTAGAGGTACTAACAAGCCATGGCAATCACTGCAATAGCAGTTAACACTGTATAATATTTTTTAGGCAAAAAAAAAACAACCACTTTTCATAATATCTCATTTTAACTGCCTACCTTTATTTTGGTAGGAAATTTGCCTTTGCTAGTAGTTGCCTGCTATGTTCAGTATTTTCCCTCCCCTTATAAAATACCCAAGTGGCTATTTTCCAGGTATTAGTGAATTCCCTAGATCTGCCAAGAGAAGAAACCTGTTTGCTAATGCAGTCACATAGTATTGTCAGTTTTGAGGTACATATTCTCCTGCTTGAATAGCTCTCTCTTTCATCAGAAGTGAGACAGTTACTGTAACTGCTTGGTGAGCATCTGGAAGTAACATGAATAATGATGATAATAATAATGACCTCACAGGATGTGTAATTTGGGGATTAAAGAACATTTACAAGCTTATTGTGTCATAGTTAATGATAAGGTGCCAAGTTTTCTTGCCACCACCCTTTGCAGTGGTATTTCCTGCTTGGATCAGAGAACTAATTATAGTAAATGGTGCCCTTTTAAAGAACTCACCCCATTGTAAAGCATATGCTGGCATAAAGATAAACTGTTTTAGTGTTGTTTTTCAGATACAGTTTATTAATGTTATTTTGCATTTGTATTAAAAATCTGTATAATGTAATCATTTAGTGTTTATTTTATTGTGTGTACCTTCTACTCAGAGGGTTGGCATTATTGTTCCTAACAGTGACGGATACAAGCAGATCATGCCTTATGACCTCTACCATCCCCTTCCTCGGTACGTAAATCAATCATCCTGATGTTAGAATTAGCAAATTAGTCTTCTGCTGCTTATCTATATTTAAAGATATACATAGAGAAATTCTGTGTTTTTAAGATGGTAGATGGTATATTTTGCAATCCATTCTGAATTCTGCTTTTGAATAATACTAGCCTGTTCAGACTGTAAGCTTATCGTTCAAAAACTATTTTAAGGTAGAATCATATTACACTGGAGCGAACACGGTAATTCACTGTGATTAGATAGTGTACGGGTTTCTGTTATGTCTTGCTTTCTCTCCCTTTGTCCTTTTCTATTTTTCCTCTCAGTAGGACCCTAGTCATTAAAGCACTGTTGCTAACTATTAAGCAAACACTGCCTAAAGTATTATTGCACTACCACTAACATGGACTTCCAGATGTGATGTTATTCTGCATATGGGCTTTAAATGTCCACTTTTTATTTCAAAGAAATTGTAATTAAGCACAAAAGGCAATTTTTTATATTCTTCTTATTCAGAACATTTTGGGGGCTGTTTTTTCTAAACAAAATCCAATGTGCTGCATTGCTTTTTAAAAGTACAGTACTTTTTTTTTTTTTTTTTTTTTTTTTGAGACGGAGTTTCGCTCTTGCTACCCAGGCTGGAGTGCAATGGCGCGATCTCGGCTCACTGCAACCTCCGCCTCCTGGGTTCAGGCAATTCTCCTGCCTCGGCCTCCTGAGTAGCTGGAATTACAGGCACCCGCCACCATGCCCAGCTAATGTTTTGTATTTTTAGTAGAGACGGGGTTTCACCATGTTGACCAGGATGGTCTCGATCTCTTGACCTCGTAATCCACCCGCCTCGGCCTCCCAAAGTGCTGGGATTACAGGCTTGAGCCACCGCGCCCGGCCAAAAGTACAGTACTTTTAAAAACTTCTAAAAATCATGAAAGTAAGCCAAGAACTTTTAAAAGAAATTGTTCTCTTTATAATATATTCATATGAAAACTGGAGAAGCTAAAAAATGTACTAGCTACTGAGTGTATCGCCTGCCGCATTGGAAACAGCTCCACAGATAGCAGAAATTAGAACTGGGATTGAAGTAGACCTATGCTCTATTTTTTTTGCTTATTTGGCCCTTGTGGGAATCAGCTGCTATTTAGAACTAAAGGTTTAAATCTGATCATAATTGTTTGGAGTAATCTACAATAGCCTGCTCCATTCAAACTAAACCAAACCCAGAAAATAATTTTATTTTGAGCTGTAAAAGTTTAATGGAAAAATCTCCAAATACCTAATGAATTAGAATCCAGATGGAGGTCCCTCAAAGTCATCTAGTGCAGCTCCCCATTGATGCTTCATTCTCCCATTCCTTCCCCAACAATCACAACCATAGACCACAGAAACGTTAACATATGTATTTATACGAATATGCATTCATCTGTTCAATGCATACATATTTGCCCATCTATCAATGTTTATAAAATACATATATACAAATGAAAGTTGTCATCCAGTGTCTACTTAAATATGTCTAGTGACTGGCTTTCACCTAATGATCACATATAGGAAACGAATTTGACTTGTACTAGATATACTTGTTGATTTTCTTGTTATTTTAAATTATTTCGCTATGTGGCTATGTCATTAGTCAGCTCCCTCCTACTTTCCTGTGACTATAGTGATAAAGACAATAAATGGCTTTAGAATGTTCCTGATGTATTATTTTTCTGGTTGAATTCAGAACTCTTGTCCTTGAAAAGAATTTAATTAAAATACCAAAAGATTAATTTAACTGAACCAAGAGTTCATTTGGTTTCAATTTCTGTATCTGTAAAATAAATGTTCGTAGAATATATGTATCTGTTTGTATGAAAGCCATACATTTCATTATTTCAAGATAAAGGTAGAGTTGGACATCAGGAGTAAGCAACATCAAGTGTATGTTTTTCCTGGAATGGCAATTCCTAGATTGCTGTTTTATCTGTGATCTCTGTTGTTTATCTTTCTCTGTCATAACTAATACCTATATTAAGTTAAAATTGATTTCTTATAGATTGGGATTTTCCCCAAATGCCCAAATTCCAATGGAATATTAAAATGATCCTCCTGGGTGTTTGTACTTTGTCCTTGTGTACACTCTTGGCATATCCGTATATCACATTTTTTAACCCCTGTATGTCTAACACTGAACTAGTTCTAAAGTTATATATTCAGCTCTATTGACAAAATCTTAGTAAATGGAAGCTATTTCTACAACTACGTTTTCATTCATAAGAAGAATGGAGGCTCAAAAATGGTTCTCAAATGGCAGCTGCCCACTGATCAAGGCAATTTAAATTATTTAAATGGGGTTAAGAACACAAGTATAGGTATAAAACAATGAATATATTTTTAGCTTATTCTTTCCTGCTTTCAGTCTTTGACTATAACACATATCCAGATGTAATATGAGAATGTAGTCTGAATAATTATCTTGATTTATAATTAATATATGCCACTCTGCTGCATCCTGCTTAATTTGAGAATTTCTTAAACACACTGTGTGTTTAAAAAAATTAAAAACCAAAAGAGTTTAAATGATCATAAATTTATTCAGTGTTCTCCAGGATAAGACTCTTGGATATGTCATTTTTATTCTGAGCACTTACCTGATTACCATCTTCAGATCTCCTGACATGCTCTCTCTCAGCTTTTGTTACGCTTTCTTTAAAACACACAGACATGTTTTGCTTCAAGATTCCACATAACCCTATGCTTATATAAGGATTCACATGATAATTTTCTACACATATAACTGTAGCTGTATGCTGGAACCATAGTATACATTTTTGGAATAATATTAGCCTCATTTGTCTTTCTATGATCACTGATATTGAAAAAGATACTTATTGCTATTTGTGAAATTCTACTATAGTTAGGTCCAAGTGCTGAGACAGAAATTAATCACTCTCCCTTTAATAGGGTCAAGCTTAGGAATTTTAGAGTACCAATTAGAAACTGTGCTCTTTTATGGCATCTTAATATTCTAAGTGATTAAATGTACATTTAAAAACATATTCCTACTTCACTGTCAGATCAAATCTATTGTGAATACATACTTATGTATTCAACCCAACTTTAATCTGAATCAGGCCTGTTATTCACCTCCAGAAGGAAGCCCTCCAGAGATTTACGTGGAGACTAAGGAGAATTGGTCTTACCCATTGGGAAGAGAAACTCTCTACAGAACTACTTTATTCTCTTGAAAGAGATCAGAAAGTCTCCCAAGGGCCAAACAGAGGGCCTCAGTTTCCCCATAATGACATTTTCTTACATATCTCCGGGGGAAATACACATAGGAAAATATTATATTTGGCAGCACGTCTTGACTTTTGGCAGTGGAGATAACAGTTGCTCCCTAAACTTGAACAATGCAGAGAAAATGTGAAGGAAAGCCCTTTGTAACTAGAAAAAAACACATGATTCAGGCTCATGCAGAAGAGAAATCAAGCTCACAATGTACACAGAAACCTGCTTACAGAATAATTAATGTCTCAATGGTGTGCCTCTGCAATATTTAAAAATTTTAACTATTCAAATGGATCAACTCGGTGACATTTTGTTTCATTAAAATTATATCTCTCATAATTCTAAGAGAAATCTTAAATCTCCTTAGCAATTCTCATCAATAAGCAGAATATATGCAAAAAAGAGAAGCTCAACTCACTCAGTCCCCATGTTTCTGTTTTTAGAAATTCTACGTTCTCTAAATCTACAGGAGGAGAGAAAAGAATATGGCAAAGATATCTCTCTGCATCTGGGACCTAATGCTTCAGAGCTGTGTAAAGCTCTGAAAACTAAAATCAGTGGAAGTCTCTTAAATATTATTGACAATATTGTTATTTTCTACCTTACTTAATTATATGTCTAGATTCAGATGCCATTAGCCTTCCAACCAAAACCAAACCTCTTCACAGTTCCAAGAGTTCTTTACTGGAGGAACTCTAACTACCAGTATCCCGCAACATTTAGGGAATACGTAGATAAACACTTTGGCTCCTCAGCTTAATGATAGTACAGTTTGAACATCAGAATTGTGCTGAATCTACGTAGCCCCAAAGCTGATGATTGCAGAAGCAAAGGAGAGAGCGTTTTGTTTACCTGTCTTTTATGAGCTTCTCCTCATAATATGTTCTTTAAAAAAAAATAAGTGTTACATTGAAAATAATAAGTATCAGCAGGTGCAAACTATTAGTGTTAACTGATTATACAACTTTAGTCTTGTGATGGATACTTAATGGTTTAATGAAAATAAATTTTATATATATGTACCTTGAAACTATGGGAGAAGGGCAGAACTATATCCTACATCTTCTGAGTAGGTTGCAGACAGCACAGACATCTTTATGGACAGCTCTCAAAACTGTAATGGCTTACATTTGTGTAGAGCATCACAGTTTACAGAGCCCTTTTGCCAACATTGAATCCTTGTCTCTTGCTCTTCAGATTTCAGGCAATAGATGGCTTTTGGTTCTCTGCACCTTAGCCTCTCAGAACCTGATTATACCAATAGGCACGGGAAATGGGTTGGTCGACTGGTCACTGAGGAGGCTTAGCAATGTGCCTGTCTGCCCTGATGACTCCCCTTGCTTCTGTAGGTGGGAGGCCACCCCATGGACCGCGTGCTCCTCCTCGTGTGGGGGGGGGCATCCAGAGCCGGGCAGTTTCCTGTGTGGAGGAGGACATCCAGGGGCATGTCACTTCAGTGGAAGAGTGGAAATGCATGTACACCCCTAAGATGCCCATCGCGCAGCCCTGCAACATTTTTGACTGCCCTAAATGGCTGGCACAGGAGTGGTCTCCGGTAACTGTGCCTTCTTTCTTTGTTCATTAGGAGAGTAAGTCCACTCTTCCCTCTCATCATCATGGCCCCTCCGGGTTCCCTGTGCAGCTCCACACTCTTCTTGAGGTGTCTAGAAGCCTACCAGCTTAGCTCCTGGAGTAGGAATGCCCCAAATCCAGCATGACCAAAAGTAAATGATGTTTTTTTTAAAATGTCTTTCTTCAAGTTTCTTCAAGAAGCCTCTATTGTTCCCCAGATAATGTTCCCTCAAATGGCAAGGGGAAGCAAGTGCCTTTCAAGGGTAATTGAGGCTGAATGACTGATTCTGAGTCTGTGAAAGCTGCTTTGATGATAGAGCTCAGTAGAGCAGAAGTTTGATTTCATTTTTTATGTATTATGCTTTGTATCCAAAATAGTCTAAGTGGATTAATATTAAAACTGTGTATATGAGTCATTGGAGGAGGGGGGAAGATGAAATGAGAGTAGCACAAAAATTAAAATTGGAATGAAATAAGATAATTAAAACAAAAAAAATTATAGATGTTAGGAAACCTGTTTTAATTAAACATAAAATGTCATTCAGGGTTTCCTGACTGCTAATGCAGAAAAGACAATGGCAAAGGAAATAGATCAAATAAACCATCGTGCCCTCAGCCTCAGAAATGACAAAAGCCTCTTCACTGAGCCCCATGGCTTTGTGGCAGCAGATTAGAGCTGTGACATTTTCTACATCTAGACATGCTACCAGACATGGAGAACCATGAGAGGTGCAATCTACATCAGGCATCTGGTCACTGAATCTGTTCTTTGAAATGTTATTTTTGCCTTTCAATGTAGTCAACTAGATTGACAATGCTGCGATGTAATTTAGCTGTAATCCCAGTTTCAATATTTTAATATCCATGTGGGGGTATTTCCCATATTTTTGGAAGTAGCAGTCATTAGCAAAGTAGCTAAATGAAATGCAGTGTTGGTAATCAAAATTAAGCACGCTCTACAGTCTCTTTTCTCCTTTCTTCTTTTGGGTGCTTGGTTTGAGACTTTGCACAGAGTGGGTACTTAAAGATTACTGACCGATTAATCCAAAGCTGTAGAATTGAAAGTGATTTAATTTTTCAGCAAGCTTCACATCAAATAGCCAAATAGAACAAAGATCCCATGACTGGTAAGAAGTGGTATAAATTTACCAGGAGTCCTCATGTGGGAAAAAAAAAAAAAAAAGAAATCTTAGATTAAAAGTTGTAGGTGGGAAGTGAAGAAAAGTAAACAAGTCTTTGCCTACGAGTCTCCTCTCTCTTGCAATCTCTTTCCAGTGCACGGTGACATGTGGCCATGGCCTCAGATACCGTGTGGTCCTCTGCATTGACCATCGAGGGATGCACACAGGAGGCTGTAGCCCAAAAACAAAGCCCCACATAAAAGAGGAATGCATCATCCCCACTCCCTGCTATAAGCCTAAAGGTAACTTGACAGATGCTCTATTACCAGTCTGTTCATTGTTGTGTGTCCTCAGTGCTGTTTTAAACTCCATGGAATATTTTTAAGTATCCCAAGTATTCTTAGTAAGAATTCTTCATAACTTAAACTCTACTAAAGGAGCTTGATCCTTTTAAAGAATCTTTCAAATGGTTTTGATTGCAAAATTGTATTAAGCACTACATGTAGAAATCTATTTATATAATTATCTTCCAAGTCATAAAGTTGTTTGAGGACTACTGCTGGAGAATACAGATGTAACTGCTTAAAGGGAGACCAGCTATTCTAGAAATATGTTTGATTTACTATCCACATTTCTTGCTTTGAAAAACAAGGGAGTGAACATAAGAATGTCCCTTTTGCTAGGACTGAAGTACATTAAGTCACATACTTATAAATTGATGAAACAGAAAACTTTCGCTTTTTATATTGAAAATTAAAACATTACTATGAGACTGAATTCCAGAACTGAATTTAAAATATATCAGAATTTAATAGATTTTGCAATGATTTATAAAAAAGAAATTTTAGGAAAGTGTAGATCTAAGTAGTTAGTAAGCCAGACTTCTTATAAATCTCAGATTAGGAAGAATACGAATTTGATTTCTGTACAAGCATTGTTACTTGTCTGTGTCGATGGAATAGAAAAATCTAAAGTCACAAACCATTCAGAAGTAAAGAACTCTTTATTATAAACCTCCTTTCATTTTTAATATGAAATATGGCTCCCATTTCTTTATTTCTTTAAGCCATTAAATTTCTCTGAAAATCAGTCACAGTGTAGCTCTTTATTATACTGTAAGTGGCCTTAATAGCAACTGAATGGCATCATAAAGTCTAAATTAATGATATAAAAGGAAACCAAGTAAAACAGAAATCCAGATTAATTTTAATAAATGTACCTTTCTTGAAGCCTTGGTTTCTTCCTCTGTAAAGTGGGATTAATTGTAGTATCTAAATCAGAGAACATGTGAAGGTTAAATGAGATATAACATAAACAGTGTTGTTGACCTGCTGCCTGGAATACAGTAACTTCCAACTATAGTAAGTTACTTGTAACTCCTGTCATTAGCATTCTCAACTAGAGGAGGAGGTTGTCAACAGGTGCATCTGACAGGATTTAGTTCAAAACAACAAAGTATTTCAAGACTACTGTTAGAGCCAAACTGAATGCTTCCTCACTGAAAGACAGAGAGCTAACTTACACCATCAGAGACAGCTTCATTTACTGTCTTTTTTTTTTTTTTTTTTGAGACGAAGCCTCTGTCACCCAGGCTGGAGTGCAGTGGCACCATCTTGGCTCACTGCAACCTCTGCCTCTCGGGTCCTAGCAATTCTCCTGCCACAGCCTCCTGAGTAGCTGGGACTACAGGCACACGCCGCCATACTTGGCTAATTTTTTGTATTTGTTTTAGTAGAGACAGGGTTTCATTGTGTTGCCTGGGCTGGTCTCAAACTCCTGAGCTCAGGCAATCCACCCGCCTCGGCCTCCCGAAGTGCTAGAATTAGAGGCGTGAGCCACCGCACCCGGCTGACTGAGTCATTTACTGGGGTAGATGGAGGAGTTGTAAAATGATGTATGTATAGGTACTGTGCTGCTGTTTTCAAAGGTTAGCAAATCCTTTTGGCTTTGGCGGTTTTACATTTCTTACTTGCCTTGTTTTTTGACTATAAACAATTGCTGCACATAGAGAACAGGAAGTGATGGCCCTAACTTAAAATCGTCAATTGTTTATTAGCTTTATCTTCAAGCCACTTCAGAGAAAGAAAAGCAGTTTACGGTTAACTATCAAGAATAAAATCTTGATTTTCACAACTAAGGAGTGAGCCTGGCTCTCTACACATTATTAAAATACCATATAATTCTATGTTGCATATGTATATAGACATACTTCTTTCATCTTTGCAATTATATGTTATAAAATGGTGATAGAGCATCATTGGCTCATACTATAAAGGCAAATATGCCCATAAATGAACCTAATAAATATGCTAGAATGGGAATCTTGGCAGTTACTTCTGTGGGAGCAGTTATAACCTCCCTCTTCATTTTTCTGCACAACTTTTTTCCCAGGAGGTAACTAGAAAGCTTGTTCTGAATTGCTTGGCCAAAGCTAGACAAATAGGTGCAATAAGTCAGATTATGGGTTATGAACCTCACTTGCACATATTCCAATTGTCAGCGAGCCTTGGGGTAGTATTGAATGAGTCAGATATCTAAAGCAATGTTTTGTGAATTTCAGAGTGACAGAGTTTGTTTTTGTCAATGTGACATAGATCACACCTAGCTAAAAGGCAAAAAAGAAAGAATTTATTAAAGTATCACAATAGAATTTATTGTACTTTGTTTTCCAAAGTAAATGCTGCTCTATCTTTTCAAGAGGAAATAGTGAAAAGATACTTGGATGATTCTTTATATGCATATTGAGCTAGTGCTCCTACACTTACAACTTTCATAATCATCAGACTTCCCTTTGCTCTTCATCATAATAAAGAGGAAACTAGTATTATTAAACATTTTTAAATTTGATTTTATTTTTCTTGATATAACCACCATCAGAGGCAGCGATTTACCTAAAAACTTATTATTCGTGTTGGTCAACATGGTAACTTCTTGGTGAGGAGAAAAAGGAATTTTCCTAAAATCCCAGATTGGTTCTAACCTCTTCTCTTATATGTGCATGAATTCTGAATTCTCAGAGAAACTTCCAGTTGAGGCCAAGTTGCCATGGTTCAAACAAGCTCAAGAGCTAGAAGAAGGAGCTGCTGTGTCAGAGGAGCCCTCGTAAGTTTTCAAAGCACAAGTTGTTCTACATTTGAAACCACTTTGTTTAAAGAAAGCAATGTCTCACTAGTTGTGGCTTTCATGGGTTCTGAACTAAGCGTAATCATCTCACCAAAGGAGGCTTTTTGGCTCTTGAATTAGAGATTGATGAGTTTCCAAAAGTGTTTGTCACAACTGATGGTTGCATTGTAAATACTTCTATTTTGCCTAGAGTAAGAAAATGAACGTGTATTGCTTACCCTCTTCTCCGAAATCTGACCTCCTGTCTTCTCTTGGCAAGGGGCCAAAGGTGAGAAGGCCCAGGCTATGGCTGATGATGTAACATAGATTTGATGGAAAAGCCTGAGCCGCCTTTCACACTCTCCCAGCTTTGCAATATAGTCACTCACAAAAATTAAAGAGTAAGTAAAGTATTCCTGAGGGCAAAAGAGGTTCATTAACTTCTCTTTTCCCTTTCTTCCTGGGATCCGTATTAGGGGTGGACCTAGGTCTTTACCCTACTTGATCATTTCCCAAGTCTCAATTTTATCAAGGCCATGGAATCTATAAAACCACGAGGCCCAGATTTGCCAGATGCTTCAGAAGAGGAAACAAAGAGGAGAGACAAAAGTGGATTAATTGGTTGATTGATTGACTGATAAGTATATGTATTGATTTCATTAGAAAACATTGATAGGCAGAGCTGCTACATCACTTTTATAAATGAGGAAATGCAAAAAAAAAAAAAAAGAAAAAGAAAAATTTCGTCTGTGACCCAAGAAATTTCTCAGGTTGAAAATTTTCTAGATTAATTCATTTAATGTAAGTTCTAGGCTCTGTGCTATTCACTGGCACTTAAGATATGTCACCCATCCTCCAGGTGTTCAGGTGTTCATAGCAGAGCACATAGGATATACAATGGTTTCCAAATTTTACTGGAGATATAAATTGACATTGCAGTTTATTCACATGTGATTTAGAATTTTCTCAGATTCATCCTGTTTGAACCAGAATGTGATGTGGTTTGGCAGAACACAATTGTGTTCTGAGTGGGCAAGAAATCCAAAGGACAGATTTGTACAATAGCCAAAGGTCATTTGTAAAGAAATGATATTCTGTCATTTGATTTCACACACACAAAAAGATGCAGACATTAGAAAAGACTTTTTTTTCTCTTTTATTTTTTGAGACAGGGTCTCACTCTGTCGCCCAGGCAGGGGTGCAGTGGTGCAGTCATCACTCGCTTCAGCTTCGGCCTGCCAGGCTCAATGCATTCTCCCACCTCAGCCTACCAAGTAGCTGGGCCTATAGGCGCAGGCCACCACACCCAGCTAAGTTTTTAATTTTTTTGTAGAGATGGAGTTTCTCTATGTCTCCTGAACTCAAGCAATCCGCCCGCCTCAGCCTCCCAAAGTGCTGGGATTACAGTTGTGAGCTACCGCGCCTGGCCCAGGAAACACATATTTTTACTTAAAAGGACAATTATGCAAAACATAAATTATTTCTGTACTGTAAAGTTACTACAGCAACCATTTCGGCTTCTTTGAGGAAAAGCAACTAACCACTACGGAACTTTGGAGAAAAGGGAGTGATTGAAGATCACAATGTAACCTGTAAATGAATATATGAAGGCTTACAATTTTTTGCTTCTCCTCTGCCAGTACCTGATTTGACAGGCCTTCTTGTTGCTGAGGAGTAACTAGGCAGCTTTTTTTAGAGGAGCATGAATAACTTCTTGACCCAGTAAGGTCCTATTTAAGACATAGAAAGATGCTATAGAATTAGAGCTGGTGACTCCTTTTATATCCTGTTGATTTAAATCTATTTGAAGCCAGGTATGTATTGTTTTACCTAAATAAACTCTTTTTCCCTTGTACGCTGCATTTTGTCATATGAACTGAAGCATAATCCTATGTATAATATTGCATTCTGGCTAATAATTCTGTAATATTATTCTGAAATAATAATACAAGTTGAAAATAAATAGAAACATCTTCCATCGATAAACATCTTCCCATTATTAGATGCCTTTCAAATGAAAGCTATCAGTGGAGTTTAATGCATATCCAGAAGCACTACATAGACCATCGTCAACCATATTTTGTGATGAATGTTTTCTACTAAAGGTCCGATTAAGATGCATTATGTTTAACTTTAATCTTAATAAAATTCCTAAAGGAGTTAAACATAGTTTTAGCTATTGAAAGTAGAGCCATATATTAAACTATTAAATTTTATTCTTAGCGTAATGAAATTGCCATCTTGGCGTGATTCATCTGAATTGGAGTAGGTTGTAATTGGGGTGCTGGTGCAGGGTAAAGGAAATGTATACATTATGCTCAGAACAGTAATTACTTTTATACCAAAATGAAATAAATGAAGGCTGTAGAATAATGTAATGAAAGGTATATGGTTTCCACATTTTAATACACTTTGCGTGTTTAGTGTACTGCACCCTAAGAAAGGTCCTAAGTGTCACATTATTTTTTTTTAATCTATATTGATTTTGAATTTAAAAAACATAATGTTGCATGGTCTTAATCCCATCTTTTCTTAAACCACATAGACTGGTTTCTAAATGTATGTAACAACCTATAATTACTCTCCAAAGCATAATGAAAAAATGATCAACTGTCAGCAAGTCATTCCTTCCCCCTACCGAAGAGACTCACATTGCTTAAATTAAATGGCAATGTTTAGAAGCTGTTGCTGTCACTTCTGAACTGCTACAGCAAGGCAGGAACAGTGGTCCTGAACTATTATCTCTTGTTTGGGCTCCAGCTAACACTGGAGAGGTCTGTAGTTAAGCAGCAAGTATCATTTATTTCCCCATATGGAAAGTGAAAATATTATCACCAGCCTATCTCATTACAAAATAAATACGGGAAAATCACCAGATTAAAGTCTTCAGCATATGAAGATATCCTTGTTCAATGTTAGATACTTCTAGTAACCCCAAAATGTAAGGAAAAGATTGGTCAGCACTTAGGCCAAACATCTGTTGAGAAGCAACCACTTTAAGATGTTTAGAAGAAAATAATGACATGAGACTAAAAACTCAATTGCCAAGGAATAACTAAAACTTTATAGACCAGGAGAATATGCCAACAACCAACATTGTGGTTGCACTAAACACCACGCAGAAGATACAAATCCAGATATTAGTCTCATAGAACCACTGAAATAAATATGGAGATTGGCTCACATGGTGGTAATATATAGGTAGACTCATCATGTAAAGCTGAATCTTTAACTCAAAAATACTTCTACGTGTTGATTTTCTCCCTCAATAGCAGATTGGGTTATTAAGACACATTTGATTCATGTGGTAGAAAGGGAGTATTGTGGTGAATATATATATATATATTTTTGTTTGTTTGTTTGTTTGTTTGTTTTCTTAAACAGTTTCACTCTTGTCACCCAGGCTGGAGTGCAATGACATGCTCTCAGCTCACTACAATCTCTGCCTCCCAGGATCAAGCAATTCTCATGCCTCAGCCTCCTGAGTAGCTGGGATTACAGGCACCCACCACTATGCCCAGCTAATTTTTGTTATTTTTAGTAGAGACAAGGTTTTACCACGTTGGCCAGGCTGGTCTTGAACTTCTGACCTTGGGTGGTCCACCTGCCTTGGCCTCCAAAAGTGCTGGGATTACAGGCATGAACCACCACGCCCAGCCAAATATATTTTCTGGGTATGTACAACATGAGGAATTTAAGACCAGCCTGGGCAACATAGCAAGATCTCATCTCTACTAAAAATAAAAACACTTAGCCAGGCATGGTGGTGTGCACCTGTATTCACAGCTACTTAGGAGGCTGAGGCTGGAGGGTTGCTTGAGCCTGAGAGGTGGAGGTTACAGTGAGCTGAGATCACGCCACCAAACTCCAGCCTAGGCAACAGAGCATCTCAAAGAAAAAAAAACGTGTGTGTGTGTGTGTGCGTGTGTGTCTGTAATATATGTATATATGTGTATATATGTATATATGTATATCTATATATATACATATATGTGTGTTTTTTTCTTTGAGAAAAAAAATATTCTTACCTTTCTACCACATGAATCATGTATATGACTATGACCAAAAATGCATAATCTCCTGGGAATGCAGCCCAGCAAGTCTCAGCCTCATTTTACCCAACGCCTATTTGAGATGGAGTTGCTCTGGTGCAAATGCCTCTGACCATTAGAGGTATACTTCTACAATTACTAAGACTCTGGGAGAGTTGCATTTTTCTGAGGATAATAGCAGTGCCATGCTAGCACTAGAAAAGGGGGACCTGAAAAATACTGATAAAATTATCTTCTGTTAAGTTTCAAACTATGTTGTTTCAAATTGCTGCCAGCTGTTGAGAGTGTTGACAGAGTTAGGATACATCATTTAAATGCCAGATTGAGCTCATCTGTTTACTTCCATGGAAAAAATACATAGGAATAACTTTCTAGGTCTTTTTAGAAACTCACAAAAGTGTACTTTTATATGGTGAGGAATTGGAACTACAAAGTGGTAGTACGATTTTATTTGTTAATCAGGTGGAAGCTAAAGGAATTACTGACTGGCTTTCCATCTCTTATTTTTATGCCTTAGTTTTAGTCTTTGTTGAGATGTATACCTAAACATCACTATTACCTGACATGTATCAACCTGGCAAGTACATGGTGTGGCCCTTCTGACAGCTTAATTCCTTGAGGAGAAATGATACAATGGTGATCCCTAGGACATTTAAAGAAATTTTGTTTAAATTCTTTACGCATTCTAAACTGAGTGCATAGGAAGTCACTCAGCTTACCTTAAAAAGCCTGTTCTGACTTGGAACAGGAAAGAAATTGTTCATTTCCTTAACTCTTTCAGGCTACTATTAGGCCACCTAATGCCCTAGAAGGTATAATTTGCTAAAGGAGTCATGTTTAGAAAAAAAGGAAAAAAAATTATAATCTGGATGCTTTAGATGCTCTTCCTGATCTCTAAAACAAGGCATGTCAGGTGGACAAAGTGAGGACCAGTTGGGCACTTAGGGA